ATTTCAATTGGGATTGCATTGAATCTATATAGCAGTTTTGGAAGTATGGCCATTTTCACTATATTGATCCTTCTTACCCAGGAGCAGGGTCTTTCCGTTTTCTGATATCATCTTCAAACTCTCTTTTCAGAGTACTATAGTTTTCAGAGAAGAGGTCTTTGGTTTCTTTTGTTAGGTTTATTCCTAGGTATTTCAGTATTTTGAATGCTATTGTGAAAGGAATTGTTTGCCCTATTTCTCTCTCAGTGAGTCTGTTGATCATGGAGAGGAAAGCTATTGATTTTTGTGTGTTGACCTTATAAAATGGAGTACTACTCAACCATAAAAAATGAGAAATTAGAGACATTTATAGCTAAGTGGATGCACATTGAGGATATACTATTAAGTGAAATAAATAGGACACATGTGTAAATATCGAACAGTTTCTCTACTGTGAGAAACTGAAAGTGTAAATAAGGACTAAAAGGTATAATAGACAATGTAGAAATAGGAAGAAAAGGAGCAAAGTGGAAGGGGAAATGGGAGGGATAGGGGAAAGGAAAGAAGGGAATGGAATCCATATGAGAAAAGGAAAAAAATGGAAACAAAGTTTTTGTAAATAGGGAAGGATGGAGGGGTTGAAGGGAGGGCAGGGGAATGGGGAAAAAATAAGGACCAAGAAAGATTATGTAAAGGTGCAAGTTTCCAAAGATGAATGTAACTGTATTGTATACTTAAAATGTACCAATAAAATTAATAAAAAATATTTTATTTATAATATATGTGTCCAGTAAGAGAAAAGAAAATGAACTTTCTCTGCAATGATACTCCATAGAAAGAGATGACTAGACCTGGGGAACTTTGACCCCTAACATAGAATAGGAATATAAACTATGAATTTCTATTTATATTAATTCTCAGGAAGAATATTTCTTTTTAACATTAGACATTATTGGTGGGACTTATCCCAAAACTATTCTGTTTTCATTCTGGAGCTCAAATTCATTCACATCCTATGAGTACCAAGCAAACACTTTAAAGTCCACCTTCTTTCCCCTTCTCCAACATCCATGTTCAGTTAATGCTGATCTGCCTCTTCTGCTCTCTACTTCATCGAAGGCACCAGGTTGAACACCCCTGAGCCAATGATTTTCTCATGAAAAATGAGAGGGAAATATTTTGAGATCAACATCTGGGTCATACCAACTGGAAATCATATATTGAAGGCAAAGGAGTTAGAGGCCATTGTTAATATCTTAAGGATACGCACTTCCTTAAAGGTATCATTACTATGAAGAGAGAGGGTTATGTCAACAGCATCAGTTCTAAAAATAATGATATGAAAGTAGTGACTACAAGGATTATTATCTGGCTTTTAGGGGCATAATAATAATGGTAGTAGATAAAAAGAGAGACAGAGAATAATGTGGGCATCTCTAGCAAAAATAATCAAAATATCTTGAGCATAGTATTGTGCTTTTGACCAGGAAACTCAGATTTGAGGTCCAAATTATTCTTCTGAGGAAATGCACAGAGAAAGGGTATCAAGCACTCTTGCTGCTACTGTTAACAATCCTTCCTTCATTCATTCTGTAATTATTTACTGATTGTCAATCACAGTGATTTTCACTAGGCTAGCCACTTAAGCAAAACTCAGATCTTTCTTTCAGAGAGGTTGATAGGATCTGAATTGCTTCTGTAAACATGTAAATAAACTACACTACAGCACAGAATAAAAGATAGCTTTGTTTTTCACAAAAGAGATAAAGCTTGCCTAAGCCTTTTTTTGTAGTTACTGTTAAATGATGGTTATAGAAAAATAAGATGTAGATAAATATTTTCACATTTGGAAATAGAAAGACACTTGTAGGAATCTTATTTGTTGACAAGATTAACTTTTACTTTCAAATGGATTCACATAATCACAGATAAGGTTTTAATCTAAAAACAAATGCAGTGTAGAAAATACCCTGAGTCACTTAAAAGAATGGGATAACCTAAGAGATATTTGGAACGAGATTTGTAAAAACATTTTTAGTTTTCATGTTTATATTTTTTAATCCTTTTCCAAACAAAATACCAGTGCATATATTTTAGTTTTGGAAATCCACAACAAACTTATCTGTTAGACAGCATGGAGGACTCTGAATTCCCTCTACTGGTGTACTGAGTTGTCTCAAAGATGTCTTTAAATCAATAAAAAATACAATTTAACTGAAAATTCATTGTTAGCATTAAAGTAAACAAGAAATAAATCTCAACTGAGAGATTCCAACATGGAAGACAACATAGCTACAGCTATTCATGCACAGCCTTGGCCAGTACCTTCTGAATGCCTGCCTGAGACTCCAGAACATTGTTCTCTGACCCGTTGCTTCGGTTGATCATTCGCCACATTTGGGAATACATGCTGTCCCTCTCGAAAGGATTCAGTCCCTTCATGCGGACATGCTCATACACTGCAGAGTCCAGGACCGTGCCATAAGGGATGTCTGTTTGCTTGGAAAGATCCTGGAGAGACCTTGATTTGGAAAAGAAGAGAGACACAAGTGAGTGCTCTGGACATTTTCAAGTGGAAATAAATTTAAAGAAAGAAAAGGAAAGTGTATATGAAGATAAGTATTAAATTGCTTTCTTATTTTCTTGTTTCTTAACATTAAGATGTGATGTATAATTATTGAAGGAAAAATGAAAAATTTTAGTGGTAATGCAACCCTTTTTTTGGTTATCTTTACAGGGAGAAATATCTAGAATCTGATGAAAATAATGACACATTGAATTAGATTGTTAGGTAATTATGATATTTTAATAAAGTCTTTGTAAATAGGGAAGGGTGGAGGGCATGAAGGGAGGGCTAGGAATGGGGAAAAAATAAGAACCAAGATGTATTATGTAAAGGTACAATTCTCAATGAGAAATGTAATTGTGTTGTATACCTACAATGTACCAATAAAAGAATTTAATAAAAAAAAATTGTCATAAATATGGGGCCTGTATCCCTCTATGTGGCAAGGGTTTAATATATTTATAAAATAATCACAGTTTTACACAAGAAGCATTTTTAAGTTAAATTTATGCTTAAAATCACAAATTGTGATCATTATTATTTATTGAGCAATTACTTCATACAAGACCAGAAAATGACATATATCTTCTGAGTAGCAATTCCTCACATTCAAAGCTATTTCACACATGTTCTAGATGAGGAAACTTGGGTAAGAAGAATAAATGACTTTGTTAGGGTGAAGCAGTTAGTGAGTGGTTCATAGGTAGGTCATATGCAGGATTCACATGTGGGTGAGCTGCCTCAAAGGCCATAGTGTTCCGATGCTAACTCTTATTTCTATATTTCTTTTGCTACACTGGCCCAAGGGTTTGGTTGTGTTTTTGTGATTGCATTTATGAGAATGAGGGGTTGGGGGCAGAGAGAGAGAGAGAGAGAGAGAGAGAGAGGGAGATTGAGGGAGAAAATTCTATTTGTATTTAGGTAGGATAAATTCACACTTTTTTAAGCTGAAGATATTTTCAGTTTTCTCTTTTTCAGGATAATACTCCAGGATTTTCAGATAAATTTTTTAGTTAGAAATGACATCTATTTGTTCCAGGTTATCCATCTCTAGATTGCTGGACTATTTCCTTTGAGTTTCTGAGCAACTATAGAATTTCTAGCTTGGAGAAACATAGACCAGTCCACTGAGATCATTGAATTTGTGTAGGTGCTCAACCTTAAGGATGACATTTAAGAACAAGTATGGGTCTTTGGCATGCTGTTAAAAATCAGAGACTCACATGCTCAAGCTTGCTAACTTCTGGGAATGGGAATAGGTGCTTTGATACACTATACCATATTTTGAACAAGAATAAATACCTAAGGCAACCCTCAACCATGAGCCACGAATCTCAGGTCATACATACTCCTGATCTTTTGGTCTGTTCTAGATGGAATGAACTAATGATTTCCTGAGGGTCATTAAAACCAGCACTAGCATGGGGTAAAGGTATTGGGAATATTACTGCAGTTCACCAACCTCCATCATGTGCAAAATGGTGTTATAAACAATAAATTATGTTCCCTGTCTGTTGAGTATTTCTGCCAATTTCTAACCACAACTTTCAGCAGAATTTAACCTGTACTTTATTGAGTTTGTGTTGTTGATATATAACATTTACTCCATTGAAATTGCCCTGGTAATTTGTTTTTAATCTATATGTCTCTCCATAAATGATACATTAAAACTATCTGATGAGAAAAATTTTCTGGAATATTCTGCAACTTTTACCAATTTTAAAGGATAAACTAAAGTGACAGTGTAAATAGTAATTGAGGGCAAAAATGGAATAAAAAAGGTTACTACAACATAATGCCAGAGTGACAGGCATTTACTCCTAGGACATATTATAATTATCTTGATGATAGCATAACGATAAGAATTTTGTTTCAAGAGGGCAATTGACTCTTGTTTCTGGTAGTAAACCTAAAATTGTACTAAAAACAGAACATTTTAAACATATTCCCCATTGTATAAGGGCTGATCAAAATACAGTGCTTGTTTTTAAAAAATATTACAGTGAAAGTTTCATTGACATTAATTCCCTTCAAAATACTCTTCCTCGCTTTGAACAAACTTATCCCGTTGTTCTTGCCACTTTCTGAAGCAGTTCTGGAAATTTCCTTTTGTGAGTGTTTTCACAAGTTGTGATGAAAAATACAGTGATTGCTGCTATCAAGTGCTGTCCAACAGAAAAGGAGCCTCAGAAAAGCATTACGGGTGACCTCATCCACCTTAATCACTGGATGTGACACCATGAAATTCCTGGCTCTTTCCTAAAGTCAAAATGACCATAAAAGGTAAATGGTTGGAATCAGTTCAGGTATTGAGTCAGCCAGGACAGCACAGCTAAAGATACTCAGAAAAAATACTTTTACAAATCAGAGTTGAAAACTTAAAGTGTTACTTGATTTCTCTCATATGAGAGACCCAAAATGTAAATAAATAACAAAATGAAAGACAGATAATAGGAAATAGGGAGACAGATCTTTCACAGAAGATGGAAGGAGGGTGGGAGGTACAGGAAAGGAAGGCAATGAAAAAACTTTAAGGTGTGTTATGTACACGAACCAATTCCTTACAATGAATGTAACCATTACGTACTGCAAATCTATACTAGTAAAAAAATTGATTTTAAAAAGGATTTCCAGAACTACTTCAGAAAGTGCCAAGAACGGTGGCATGTGTTCAGTGTGAGGGGGAATATTTTGAGGAGGATTAATAGCATTGTGTCTTTTACTGTGATAAATTTAAAAAAATAAACATTCACTGTAGTTTTTTATCATAGTTTGTGTAATTACAGATACTCTAAAATGGTAACGCTGGAGGAGGAAATGAAACGTATCTGTCCAGGTTATGACAGCAGGCCTCAGTACTTCAACTTCTATAAACACAAGGCTCTGTGCCAGGGAGTGCACAGCACATGGGTGGCCAGAGGGGCCCTGGGCTGAGCAGGGAGGGTCCTGTTACTGTTCACCAGAAACCCTCCCAGTGCAAGTTTGGCTACTTCCCAGTTTTTAGTTCTGGCAATCAGTCTGGATTACAACCATCAGAAGGCTTCAATTTGGTGCAGGTGAGATCATAATCTATGATGAAAATTTTGTGCTTACTTCCAAATGCATGGTTGGTTTGCCTCAAATAGTCACACTAGAAACTGCTGTTCAATAAATTAGTGCTCTCTATTAGACTTCCACAGAAAGAAAATTGAAATCAAATATTGGGATCTTTACTATAATGACATTTCTGTGACATAGCTTTGCCTTAAATATGAGTTTTAAAGCCTAAATATAGAGTTATAAAGAGTTTGGTTGGTGATACTGTTTTGTACACATTAAACTTTTAAAGGAATATTTTAATACATTCCCTAGGTGAAGCTCCTGGTATCAGAAAAAAAAAGGCAGTTTATTTTCAACATGCATCAACTTTAGAATAGGAGAGCATTTTGTAATTTAGAACAAAGGCATGTTCCCTCTAGTAGTTTCTGATATCAAGTTCAGCTTATAAATTTGCCTTGAGACATGCCTGCAATAAAAATTACAGCTTGTCTGATTCAGCGTCATTCCATTACAGCACACCAAGATAGCACCAAAGGTGACAAAATAAAATGACTGGAGCAAAATGAGGAGAACACAGACAGCTTATTAGAGAGAAAGAAGGCTGGTTCAGGAGCCCAGCACAGAAAGGGAGCAACTATTCTAAGTGGTCATTTTGGGTTTTTTCATGGTAATGAGATTTTAGAGCAAGAACAGCAGAAGTGCTGTGGTCTATGTAATGAATCCCTAAAAGAAATGTAGTTTGTTATTCTATAAGCTGTAATCCTCAGAAAATTCTATCTGAAGGTCAAAGATGAGTGGATATTATTTAGACATGCCCAATCATTTTTTTAAACTTGGAAAACAATTCTAGAATCACTCATTAGCACCTAGTTTATACATTAATTTGCCTTGCAAAAATGGACTTTTCTTTGTTTAAAATAGGCAACAGAAGGAAGGAATGAAGAAATATAGGACATTTCAAAGCAGAGTTAGCTGTGAATATACTCAGATTAATACATTCCATTTCTCTTGCTAACCACCTAACTCACACATACTCACACAAAACTCAGAGAATTCTCATTCCATGAATTTATTAAACCTGACTCCCACTCCCAAACCCACAGCCTCAGTATTCACACAGAGTCAAAACAGAGGTCCGGAGCTATGGGTGGTAAATGATAAAGCAAATACTTTGCCACGCCAAACATCAGCCTTGTTTTTTTCATCATCCTACTGAAGTTCTTTTTATTCTCCTATTGGTTTCCTATCAAACTGTGGGTCCTAAACAATACCAAGAGAGGACAGGTAGGTTTTATTTGGTATTTACATGGCAAACACAGAGGAACTGTGCAATTTAGGGCAATGCGATAAGAATAAATTTTAGGAGCTTAGGTGTACCTACGCTGATTCCAAACTCTTTTCATAAAAGAATACACTCTTAAAACACCTTGAGGCACTTTAAATTAATTTTGGTATATGTGATAGTCTCATTTAGGCATATCAACAGCAATCACTTTGATACTGGGTAACAGTTCTATTTTATTTTATTTGTAGTATGGGTGATTGAACTCAGAGAGCAACAAGCTATAGCCTCAACCCTTTTGGTTTTTTAGTTTTAGACAGGGTCTTGTCAAGTTGCCCATGGTGACCTCAAACTTGTGATCCTCCTGCCTTAGTCTTCTGAGTAACTGGGATTACAGGTGTGAACCATTATACCTGGCTTTAGGTTAGATATTAATGTCAAGCTGATTTGTTATTGTGATTTGAATGACGTTGTCTACCACTGTGAACCTGAGTTGGCTCATCACTAAAGTAGAGAGAGGAACAGTGTCCTCCTTAGAATAATGAAAGAATCTGGCATAATGACACTGACCAAGTTATCTAATGTTTTTATATGAAGATTATGATGATGATGATGATGACTATTTGCTCTCTAC